TGGGGCGACCACTCTCTCTACGCATAGGAGGAAGCCGTGCTGCCTTGGGCTCAAGACCTCCGGAAGGGCTAGCTGAGGAACCAGGAGCCAGGATGGCTGTAGGTGTAGGGGTAGTAGTATCTGCTTTCCACTTTACACCTTTTTTCTTGGCAAGGGGCTGAGCTGGGGGAGCTGCAGTAACAGCAAGGAGTGGGGGTCCAGCAGAGTGCAGGGACTTGAGAAGAGGAGAAGAAATGGCCTATGGGTGGGAAATGTTGAGGACAGTGGTAGGTATCTCAGGAGGTGGAATATACAGGGCTGTGTGTGATACAGAAGAGACAGCAGGCACCTGATGGGCACTGGTAATACTGCCCTGGGGTGCTGCCAACTTGGCCCCCTTCTTGTGGCTGTTCTTAGGGATGGTCACCACCAATTCTTGTTCCTCTTGTGGCACTGATGCCACTTTCTGTAGGAAGATCTTTTCCAGCGTTTGTGCCATCAAGACAATATCGTCAGTGGGCTTGTTGTAAATGTAACAGTTGGTGAACATAGTATTAAAATCTTGCATACACTCTGAGGCGGCCCAATAATAATTGTTTTCAAGTCTCCTCTTAATAGTACCCATGTCCATAGACTGTTTTATAATTTTGTGATAATCTGGCAGACCCAGTTGGACAGCATCCGCAGGTTGCCAGAATGGCCATGCAAACTGATGTTTCCACAGAGCCTTCATCACCACCTTGTATAGATATTGCAGCTGGTTGGTAACTCATCCTGGCTTTTGGGGATTGGACACCTCCGGGGGTGGCGGGTTGGCAGGGGTCAGTGGCAAAGCAGGCACCGAAGCCATTGTGGGGCTCTCAAAACCCTCATACAACAGGGAGGGCTTTCGAATCCTTTTCCCTGGCGCTGCAGCCTCTGGGCCCAGCCCCAGTAACCCTGCATTCCCTTCCCCAGGGAGCTAACTGGACCGCCACCACCGTTCCAAAACCGTCGCTCAGCCCCCTCCACGTGAGCTCCAGTCAACAGATGCGCCGCAAAACAGCCGTGCGCTGGAGTCGTTCCGTACTCTCTCCGGACACTGCGTACCGCACCCCCGTGCTGCCGCCCCCACCAGTTACTTTGTTAGTTAAGCTATTTCTTATTTCTCTCATTATAATACCTCACAAGAAAAAACTGAAGTCAAACTCAGTTCCGAAAGGAGTCAGGTTGACCATGGAGACATTATTGTTTTCTTGATGTAATATTATTCACTGGATACTGGCTTGAGATAATAGCTCACAGAAACATGTAAACAGCTAGATATCAGACAGTGGAGGTACTCAAGAAGTTTGAGGACAATCACAAATATATTTTTAAAAATTTCATATTCAGTTTTCTACTAGGCCTAGACCTAACCCAGAGAATAGTCTGATGTCTCTTTTTTATCCCTGATATTCCTTGAATTCTTTTGAGACTTTTGTAGATTTCAGAAATAGCAGCTAATGGCTGGAGTCCTAGGGTTCAGTTAAGACATATAGATATGTTAGGAGGTCCTATTAGAGATGTCTAAAGTAAGATGGCAAATCCATTAGTTGGAAAAATTAGCGGCCATTGCAATTTTTGAATTAGGTGTATCCATTTACAATCAGTTTACAGAATTTATGGGAACGAAGACAGCTGAGAGAAAGGCAAAAAGGACTAGGGAAGTCATTTTACAATCTAATACCTTGACCCACAACACGAAAGATAGAAGAAATAAAAGGAGGAGACAAATAATAAAATATAAATCCTAATCTTAATCAGATCTTAATCTGAAAGTCTTGTGTAGAAACTGTCTATACCTCATTGATCCATAACTTCTTGGAGTAGCTACTTATTTCTGAGCTGTGTGCATCTAAAAGTTGTTTATTAAACTAAGGTTCAGGGTTTCATATCTTCAGTGGGACTGGATGTCTAGATTATAAAAGCCTTAACACATTTACACCTGGAGTCATGAATCCATGAGTATATACCCTAGAGTGTAAGACCAATATTTGTGATTAAAAGTACTTGAGATGACCTTTACACTGCTAATGTCTTGGGAACTTTCCATTATACCCAGTCTCCTGTTTTATATCATATAGAACTGTGTCTGATGTCTCTTTTAAAGTACAACTTGTGCTTGCTGTGCATATGATTGTGTACATGCTATTAGTTCTGATAACAACTGATAAAATTGGCATGTAACAAAAAGTATGTTGAAGAATGGGTTAATCTGAGCCTTTTAGGTCTTCGTGTCTGAATTTCATATGGAGAGAGTTTGAGGTTTTGTGGTGTGCATCATATTATCATTAGGGCAAAGGTTAGAACTTGAGGTCAAGAAAGATTAAGTTCTTCCAAAAATTTGGATAGTTTTAATTTTGAGAATGTTTTGAATAAAATATTGTTAGTTTGTCTTAACTTTTAGAACTTTGGGGGAAATATAGATAATGACGTCTCTGTTTTATTTGAAGATTCTACATAGTTCCTTAAGTATGGCACCCATAAAATGAGGTCCTCCATTTGAGTGGAAAAAACAAAATCCCAAGTTTTTTGGTAACAGCTAAAATGCTATCCCTTTGTCAGAAGAAAGCCTTTGTCCCAACCAGAAAAAGATGGCAATCTCTCACTAAAACATTTAAAAGCTTTGTCACTGGGGCAGTAGAATGGGCCCATTTGTAAACATGTTTAAGTGATTATTTAGAATTCTAAGCCTTGATCATACTTTGTCATCTTTCTGGATTTTGATACTTGCAGATAAGGGAAGTTTCAGTCACCTGTTGAGCCTGGAGTAATATTTCCCCACCCATATTTTTGTATTATGGAACAGTTCATCTTCGGCATCGTAGATGCTTCCATGTAACAAATGTGATGAAGGTCTGGAGATGTGCTTGGGCGCCACCAAGCGACCATCTTGGAAAGTCCAACACTCACAGCCCTGCACGAGACGAGAGTTTTGGTAAATCAGAGATCACTGTGTTTGAGTTGATCATTCTGGATAGATGAAAGCCTACTAACTTTCATTATAATAGAAATAATGAAAAATCAGAAAGGGGTGTTTTACACAGTATATGGCTAGGACATTTTCATTAGCTTCAAAAATATGATTTTCAGTATGTGCTGCAATTTTAAAATATTTCTTTTAGATATTGATTTGTCTCTAATATTATTAGTTCATTTTCCGTCTTACAAGTGACCAAGGAAGTTAAACAACCCATTTGCTTTCATAATATGCCAAAATCTTGAACAACCCAAAAGTCCATCAGTAAGAGGTTGAGAATTCTTAAATCTTTAACAGGTGGTGTGCACTTGTGAAAAGGCAGAGAGTTCAGAAGTTACAGCTTATATAACACAGAACGTACTTGGATTATTTTAAAGAAGAGAATCATGAAAAATGTAGTATGTCAACATTGGCCAAGGGAATATCAGTCAAGACAGGTAATGGCTAGACTTACGTAGGGTGGAGTTGGGCTTGACAATGACAAGGGAAGCAATGCACATATGTCGTAGGTGAAAGGCAAATTACTATCACATACTGTTTTCAAGCAATATGTTTTGAAAGATATGCGGGCAGTGAGTGAGAAGAGAAGCTAGAAGAATGTTGGCTGAGGTATCAACAAGCTTAATTGCTGCTGCTTGGCAATAAACGAGGTGGATAAACCTATCCAAGGTAGGTTTGTGATGAACTTTTAGCTTTTCCTCCAGCACTTTTAAAGCACAATTTGCCTTTTCTGTACAATGCTAAGGGTATAATATTGACAGTTTGCTCAAGTTAGGAGTTGCTCTGATGTCTGCTCTTCAGGAAAGGAAAAGACCTATCTAACCCCTGGATCTCAAGGCAAGGGCTCTGGAGCATGGGTTTTAGGTAGCTGTTGTAAGTGATTGATCTAAAAGAAATACGGAATGAAAAATATGTCTACTTATCTCTAGCATACCTCCCTGCAAAGGCAAGGAGGCAAACACTGGTGCTACCCAGGAGCCATCTGAGGAGCGTCAAGACTGCGAAAGACATCTTGATAGTTTTGCTATTTTGAACTTAGAACTTGAATATGAGAAATGCAAAATAGAGAATTATTGGATGAGATGTGGACATACATGAAGATAAAAGCATAAGTAATAGGTGTCTAAAGATAAGAAAATTACCACAATCTTTGTCAGATGGACAATATTAAAAATAAAAGCAGAAACAAGCAACAATACTTATTAGGACTCATAACTTTTCAGAAGTGAAGAATTTTTGTTGAAAAATGATGCATGGCAAAAGCAAAAAAAAATAAGGATCAAGACTTTTCTGCACTGTCTTTATTATTCATAAATTCTGTTGACTCACTCATATGTCTTTATTGAGTATTGTTAGACACATACAAAGTTAAATGGTAAATTCATAGGTTTCCACCTAGCTTTAAAAACATTCTTTAACAGTATGCCATATACAATAAAACCACTTTTAATTTACAGCAACTTCCTTGGAAACTAAACAACACATATCTATCACCTTACCTACTTTGTTTGCAACTACTCTTTTAGCACTCATTTTGTTATAATTTTTAACCAGAGAAACTAACTCCTTTTCCCTCTCAGGTACAGAGAAAACTGGGAGGTGAGTAGCTGAGCACTGTCTGACACACACAAGTGACTTAGCAAACCAGAACTCTACAATGACACCTGCTTGTGTACCATAAGCACACGTTGCACATTCATGCTGCATGTCTTTAAGGGGGCAAATAATAACATATATGCTAATATGACCCAAAGGCATTCATACATCACTTAAGTATGGCACCTACAAAATATATAGTCTTCCATCCAGGTTGGGGGACTAACTAAGTGATGCTGAGTGACTGGCTTATGGTCACTCTCTAATGAATAAAAGCAGAAGGCAAGAGCATAAGTATTAAAACCATGCTTATTTGGTTTTATGCATGCTAACTTTTGGGATTTGGGGCTGTTATAAAATTGTCTGAGCATACAAGTTTATTTATCAATAATTTAATAATTATGTACATATTAATTATAGACACGTGTTGGTTAATTCATATTTATATAATTAATTATATACCAGATATTAAAAATCATAATATGTAACTGTATTTTCTATAACCATGTATAATATAAATGTATAAATGCTATTGTAAATTGCATGATATGTAATGTATTAATATAACTATTAAATAATGTATTGATAAAACTAATACTAATAGCATAATAATTAACCGATCATTTATTAATTAAATCATTAGTTCAAGATCCTAAAGTCTATTTACAATCTTATTACTGTAATTTAAGTTGATACTATAGAGCACTACAATAACTGTTGATATCAAAAGATTTTCAGAGAGGTAATATTATGGAATTTGTGAAGACTATGAAAATAAAATTACTAATTCTAAGTAGCTTTTATCATTATGAAAAGTACAATAACTCAAATGAAAAATTCACTAGAAGGCTCAGCAGAAGGAAGAATCAGCAAACTGATAAAGATTATGCAATTGGAAGAACAGAGAGAAAAAAGAAAGATCAATAATGAACAGATCCTCAGAAAAATATGGGAAACCACTGAGCACACCAACATACCTATCATGGGAGAAGAAAGAGAAAGAAACAGAAAAAATATTCAAAACCTAACAGCTGAAAACTTTCTAAAGTTGATGAGGAACATTAATGATTCATGTTCTGGATTTAAAGAATCCAAGAAATTAAATGAACTCAAAGTAAGATAAAAACATAGATTCACATACCGATAGATCATAGTAAAAATGTTGAAAGACAGAGGTAAAATCTAGCAAGTAACCAGACAAACAGAACTCATTATAGACAAGAAAACTCCAATAAGATTTACAGCTGATTTCTCACCAGAAACAATGG